GGTATCATAAAAGAGGTGACCAATAAGGTGGTATTCATCAAATCCGCAGGGTGCTTTTGATTAATCAAATCTCTTCCGGTATCATAGATTTTTCCCAGATTTAATTAAAAGACGATTAACACCTGGGCTGGTCTATAGATTCACACAAATGACCAACGTCCATTAACCAGTCATCAGCTTGATTTACTTTTCTCCATGGATGTGAAAGTAGACAACATTCAGCTCAGACAATCTGCAAATGATGAATCATTCATCAATTTTCCATGGGGACTGGTCTTTCTTTTCAAGCACTCTATGATCATCAGTCTTATCTCTCCAATTTGTATATATTCTTAGTTCCTGAACTCAATAGCTAACTTATGGGCGTGCAGTGGCATATCCTATTTTCTTTGCTTTAATTTGGAAAATATTCCCCTTCCCATCTCTGGCAATAGTTGACTCTTGAGAGGAGTGAGACTGGATTTGATTCTCAAGGATAGCGCCTTACACCAATCTCACTGTGAATCGCAAAAACATCTCCCATACTTAATGTTATCATTCATGGAAAGATGTTCTCAATACACAACTGTGATGCACTGTGAAATTGGTGTGAGACGCATTTTGTGAAGAACAAATCCAAATTCATTTTTGAAGAAGTGGCTATTAAATTAGTAAAGATAATTTTAAGGAAAACCATCTAGTCGATGTTTCAAAATTTTTGCTTACAAATAGGGAATCTGGTTCAAAAGCTTTGCAAAAATGTTCCTCCAATCGCAACCTTTTCCTACCAATTCTGCTTTATAATCCAACTCTACCTACTTCTTCTAAAATGACTTTTAAACATCCAGAAATAACCTTTTCTTATTTATCATTATTATTGTTCAGAAGACCTCCCTCAAAGATGGGGTAGCTTTTCAACTCTTAGTTTTTTCTTTTTTTGTACAACTATTTTTTTATTTCTATATTTATTTAATTAAGCATTTAGCAATATAGGTTTCCAATGACATTAATGTAGAAGGCTAAATTTACGTCATAGAACTAGGAGAAATAATACAAAGGGACAATTTTTATTGATTTTGGCATAATAGATTAAATTGAAAAAAAAAAACATATATGAAATTGATGCTAGCTAGATTTAAAACTCAATGAGTATAAGTAAAAAACGGAAATTTTGAGCAAAGATTTTCTTGCACCACTCTAATTTGTGCAAATAAGGAACATTATTTATTTGATTTGGTAAAATTAAGTTAATTGACCCAATAAAAAAAGCAATTAAAATCATATATTTTATATATTTTTTTAATTTTAGATAAAATTTGGAGTGGGAAGTGTGCATAAGAGAAGGATTGAGATGAGAGAGACGGAGGGGGGAGGAGGGAGGGAGAGTTAATTTAGGAAAGAGTTTGGGTTGAGCATTGAATACTACTTAGGACCCGTTTGGATGGCTTCTGCTGTCTGCACTGATGAGCACTTCAGAGAAACTACCCAAGGTAGCTTCATTTGGAAAGTTGATTTTTCGGTTCATGTATTTTCAACATTCTGATATGTTACCAAATAAGGCTTCACAGCTTTCCTGTAGGTTTCTCATGTATTTACTCTTATTTGTGCAAAACATTATTTATGTATTTTGGTTAAAAAAATCGAACAAAAAATGAATTAATATCATATATTTTTTTGACAATTTTCCTTAATTTTAAATAGGGAAATTTCCTGATTAGTACTCTGTACTTTGGGCCTAGTGTCACTTTGGTTCTCGAACTTTAAAATGTGATAATTTGATACCCAAACTTTTAAAACGTGACAATCCTGTGCCTGTCGTTAACAAGCTGTTAACCAGTCGTTAAGTGGTATTTGAATAACACACAAATGTCCTTCAAGTGTTATTTAATTTTCTTTATCAACCATCTCAACATTGACAAAAAATTAACAGTCTCAAATCTTTGCCTTTTCCTTTCAAGAAAGTTGGGATCACATTTGAGTGGGCATTCTGCTGATCCCAACTTTCTTGAATAGAAGATGCAAGGATTTGAGACTGTTAATTTTTTTGTCAATGTTTGAATGGTTGATAAAAAAAATTAGATGACACTCGAAGGGTTTTTATATCTTTTTCAAATGCCACTTAACAGCTCGTTAACAGTAGGTACTGGATTGTGATGTTTTGAAAATTCAAATACTGAATTGTCGCATTTTAAAGTTCGGGGACCAAAGTGGCAATAGGCCCAAAGTACAGGGTACTAATAAAAAATTTTCCCATTTTAAACATAATTTGGAGTGTGACTTAAAAGTAAATAAATATATTTTGGAGTGGAAAGTGTGAATGAGATAAGCATTTAGAGAGAGAGAGATTTTAAGAAACAAAGCTGGTTTAAGAAAAGGGGAAGATAGATAATTTAGGAAACAAAAGCTATTTTGAACAATGAATACTTGGGGCTGGGGGAAAGAATTAACATGGGAGGGCTTCTACGCTGATTTAGTATGTATATTTAAGTATATATTTAAGGCTAAAAGGCAAATTGATGGAATGAAGGCCTCGCCGGCGGCAATAACAAAGTAGCATGGAAGTAAAATTGAATGGAATTAGTCCCATAAAGCCACAAACAAGCTCACAATGTTACTTCAGAGTTGCCTCACGAGACCAACCACATTAGCCGAACCTCGCAATGTCATATTAGTTTAGCTCCTTGACTCTTGAGTCACCTCATTGGATCATGTCTCACCTCTCAAGTTTCCTCACGTGAGTGTTGCGAGTAGGGGTGAGAAAAAAACCTTAAAACCGAATTGACCGAAAAAATTCATAGAAATCGAATCGAAAAATCGGTTAACTGACTTGGTCGATTCGATTTTGGTTTGGTGTTTTAAAAAAATTAAAGGTATTGGTTTGGTTTCGGTTAACTAGTATAAAAAACCGGCAGTTAATTGAATTGACCGGTATACATGTTTTCCTATATATTTTATATATATTTATGTATATTATATATATTTTATATATTATAAATTAATAAATATGCATTATATATAAATATATATATTTATAATATATAATATATTATTTATTATTTAAAATATAATATTTTATATATATTTATAATTTTTTATTATACATTTATATATATTATAAAAACTAAAAAACTGAAAAGTCGACTAACCAAACCGATGATTAACCGAACCGGTCAATCGACTGGTTTTGATTCGATTCCAATTACTAGTTTTCCAAAAACTGATACTATCAGTTCGGTTCAAAAAAAGCCCACAGTTGGGTTACCCGAACTTACATGCATCACCCCCTAAAAAAACCGGAGGTCGTGTTCTAGCAACCACACGTGTCCTAAGGGGAGAAGTATACGGGATTTGTCTCTAAACACTATACGATTTAAGAGATATTTTGAAATTTTAGGTTCATGCATGTAGCCTTGATCCCTATGGAGATAAAAGCAACCCCAGCTCTCACACTCACCCACTAAATAAGAGAAACGAGACCCTCTTTATGGTAAGTTTCACCAGTCCACTATACATAACCTGATGGACTATTATGGACTAAGAACGCTATTTGAAGATTTGGCACATTCTAAGGATCGAAGACAAGGACAAGGCAGCAATAGTAGTATGTTAGGTGATCCCCTCCCACCTTACCCACCAACTAGAAGCATAAATGTTATAAGCGTGATAGTGATTACTGATTAGTAGCACAAATAATGATAGGATTGATAGCAAGAGCAAGGAGGATCATAAATTGAGACAAGGAAGTGATGGCATTTGGCCTTGGAAGATATACTAGTTGAAGACCTAGAACACAACAGACCACTGTACATTAAAGCAAGATTAAAAAGCTTTGAGACCAAGCGAATCCAATTAGACCATCTAAACTTGGTCAATATGTTTTAGATAGGGATGGTAATTTCAACCCTACCTGGTGGGTATTTGCTCCTATTCTATCTGATGGGGTGTTTTTTTTTTTTTTACTTGAAGGACGGGTTTTGGGGCGGGGATGAGTTTTAAGATTCTATAACTCATACAGGTACGGATAGGGTTCAGTATTAAGCTAAACCCAATTGACATATTGTTAGAAAACATATAAACTTTATGTACCAACTACCAAGTGTTGGATTTAATAATATTTTTAAATTTTATGTAAAAGATAATTGATAGTTCATGCATTTTCTACATGTTTTAATCAAATAATTGGAAAATTTATTGTTTATTTGTGTTATTTTATTATTTATTGTTTATAGATGACAATAAATAATAAGAAATTAGATACATGTTTTAAATTCAATCCACCCTATCCTTTAATGAGAGAAGGGTTTTGCATTTATATGTATGTATAAGGTTTGGATTCTAAAAATTCAACCACCACTATGAATTTTGGGGCAGATATAGTTTGGAAGGTTTAAGAAGACTAATAGGATCTCAAATTTACAAAACCCTCCCCAAAACCACTCCGTTGTCATCCCTAATTTTCTAGAGCAAATGGGAATCCATCCCTAATGATATAAAAGGAATGCAAGATCAGACTTTCAATGCCAAATTCATGTTTTGAAGCATTTTATTGATAACATTGCCTAGTGCCTACTCCTACCCCTCACGGTGAAATGTGAGATGTGAGATGTGGAGACGGATTACATTGGGACGGATTTTAATGTGGGGAGATCCCATCCCGGGGAGCGTAGGCACTAGGCAGCCAAAGTATTTTATGACGGGAATCTGAATTTAGTAATATCAACTTATAAAGTTATATCCCGAAGCCAAAAAAAAAGGAAGTTATAATTATAAACATATTAATATTATAATAATACCATAAATTAAAAAAAGTCATAAAAAATTCAACGGCTCAAAATAAAATCAAGAAGCAAGAAAAGAAAGTAATAAACATAACAATACTATAAGTTAAAAAAGTCACTGACAAAAATTCAACGGCTCAAAATAATCTATTCCAACTCCTTTGGTGGGCCCATATACTCCTTTATCAGTCTTCTGCAAAGGGTTCGACCGTTCGACTATATATCATTTATAAAATAATAAAAAATGTCGCCGTTTATAGGCTTCCCGCTTCCCTTGTCTTAGTGGAACATCGGGAGCGACGGGAAGTAACAGAATTTGGTTTTTCTTTCGCTGCCTGGATACAGAGTTTAGTTGTGAGTTGTGACTCGGACTTGCGTCTGAACTTTGAACTCCTCCGTGAGAGACTGAGAGTGGTACAGAGAGGAAATGGTGGATTTTAAGAGGTTTTGGACGAGGAAGACGCTGGTAGGTCTTGGGTTGGGGCAGTTTCTCTCGCTCCTGATCACTTCGACTGGTTTTTCCTCTTCTGAGCTCGCCAGAAGAGGTTTGCTTTCTCTGGCTTGAGTTGTGATTCTTTTTCTGATTTCTCATTTCTAATGGTTCCAACTTGTCGTTTCTTGTTACAGTTTATCGTTTGTCTCAATGGGTTTTAGCTTATCTATCAGACTTTTCAATTCTCACTCTCTCTCTAACATTTTTTTTTAAATTGTTTTAGATACAGTAATGCATTTTTCTGTTGTTTTGGAATTCTTTTTCTCCATCCTTTTTTCTTTTTGTTTTTTTTGCTTTCTCCAATTTATTTATTTGCTTGTAAATAAAAATTAGGTGTTGTTAGTACAGTTGATTTCCTTTTGATTTTGCGTATTTGTTCTTTTTCGTTTTTTTCTAGGAATCAATGCACCGACCTCGCAATCTTTTCTGAACTATGTGCTCTTGGCAATATTCTATGGAAGCTTGGTGATCCACCGAAAGAAAGGACTCAAGGTTCTTATTCATCTTTCTATATGTTTTCCAAATCTTTTATAAACTATACATTAATGAAGGTGCATATGGTTTGTGATATTCATTTTTTTTTTGTGGGCTCTCCCTTTTGTTATCTTGCCTTGAACTACAGAATTGTACTGCCATTGGGAATTTGGTTTTTCTATTGTTACTCACCATGGATTGTAGAATTTTGCTATTTCTAATTTCCTCTTTGATTTTGTGTAGGCAAAATGGTATTACTATTTACTGCTTTCTGTAGTTGATGTTGAGGCCAATTTTCTTGGTGAGTTTAACATGGTAATAATTAATAAACATGCTCATATATAACTTATAATTCACCTTATATACATGGGATGGTTTTCCATGACCTGTGCTTTCCATTTTTTTATTTGATTTCAGTACCAGTTGTATTAATATTGAGACTAGTATTTTATCAAACTATTGGTTATATACTAAATTTATTGTATACTATCTACCACATTGTATTAGGGGCCATTGCTTGGTACAATGGTAAAATCTCATGCTGACAAGCATGAGAACATGGGTTGCATTCTCCATGCAGCCACTCTGTGCAAGAAAATGCTCAAGGTTAGGTGCATATCCAGTTCACACCTTCCCAGGGTAATGGCACATATATTGTATGGGTTGGCTTCAACCAATTATCTTTGCAATTTTAATGATGAGCTGTTGTTCATTACTGCCATCATATGTACTAGCTTTTCCAGGAAAGTCACTAAGAAATATTAACTACAGATTATCTTTTGAGCAAAACCATCTTTTAGTTTTGCATCCACATTCAATAAATGTATAATAGAAGTAACTGTGCCTTTCTTCCTACATATTCTTCCATTTTGAGAAGAATTGACCTGTACTTGTTAAAGGAAACTGGTTTTTAGTAAACGAATCCGTTAGTTTGCAGAAAGAATGGACCCATTTGGGTGCTTTCATACCAATATCTTCATTTCTTTCCTAACAAATGAACATTACTGATTACTTTAACTAATCTTTATCTGGTTTTACTTTAGCTTCTATATGTTTTCATGCAAAATAATTTCAGTGTTTTCATTTAAGAAACTTTTAGAAGGAAAGGTTTTCTATTCAGTCTTAATGTTTGGAGGTATTATTGACACCGTTTAAAATTTTCTTCATGCCATTTCAGTTGTGATCCTCCACAAACTAATGAATGGAAAATGCAACTTGGTCCTTTGCTTGATCTGAAAGTTATTCTGTTATTGTTGGGTATAATCAGTGAGCCTGGGATGTGGGGAGAATACAGTAAGTTTTTTTTTTTTTCCAGTACTAGCTGTACTCTTTTCTAAAAGGATGATTGGGTTAGGTCTGTTCATATTTACTGACTTCGGATTTGATACAAACCTGCACCTAACCAAGTTATTAAACAGGCCAAAATTTTGTCAAACTTAACTGGAAAGAAGTGTTCCCTTTCCCAGTTATCTGGCTTGGATTGAGGATCACCTTCTCTGTGGTTGTAAGGGAAAAATTCCTTCTTTTTCTTTACATTTCAGGTGGAACAACCAAACATAGGATTTAGAATTCCTAAAATTGAATATGAACATATTTTTTTTTCTTAAATCTCCAATTAGAATTTCATTTTTCAATTATTAATGAATCATATGAGGGCATTACTTGTATACCATCAATAAGTAATCCAATATTTTTGTTACAAAATAGCCCAAAATATTCTTCATTGAGTTTCTAGTGGAACAAAAGAAAAAGTCAAACAATACTTTTTGAGTTGTTAAGGAAAGCTTAAACCTAAACAATAAGAACTTGTTCATATCATGGTTCATAATTTTGATACCAATGGACATTTTTCCATGTAGAGTTGGAGAAATTTCAGAGATATTTTGCTAATTTTCCAATATTTTTGGAAAATCTAAAAATCAGGAAAGTTTTCTAGAAACATGGAATTAGTTGATAAACCTTAAAGAGATTGTTAGAAGAAATATAATTGCACTGTTTTCACATTTAAGGCTCAAAAACCATAGCAAAGAATTGTACAAATCAAATAGGAAAAAAATTAAGCGACTACCTCCCTCCACTTGATGAGGAAGTGGAGGGGGGTAGCTGATTCTGCTCCTCTCAAGGATGTTGTTAGGCCATCTTGGTCTCCACCCTCGGGTGGGTTTATAAAGCTGAATTTTGGTGGTAGCAATTAAGGAAATCTGGGTCTTTCAGGCATTGGAGGAGTGTTCAGAAACAAGGGAGGAAGACTTATTGCTCTCTACTTAGGTCCAATTGAGGTGGATGACTTGTTGAGGGCTGAAATATTGGCTATAAGGGATTCAAAATGCTAAGGAGCTGAACATCCAAAAGCTGTCAATTGAAGCGGATCCAAAGCTAGTTATAAGTTGGCTACAAAAGGAAGAGGACGCTGGGTGGTTGCACTACATTTATGAGAAAAGGAAAATCATGTGGCTGTTACAAGGAATGGAGGTGATTTTACATTGTGTGAAAAGAGATGCCAATTCTTTTGTTGATACATTGGCTAAACAAGGGGTGGGAAGGAACTAGTTGTTTTGGGCTTTGTTGTAAACATGCTTCTTAGTTAGGGAGAGATAAAGAGTTTGTCTCTCCCTTTCTACATCTTTGTACCTAATTGTTTTTTAAATAATGAATCCATTTTTTTGATAGATAAAGTAGGAATTTATTAATCTCAACAGAATTAATGCATTACAAACATCCCTTGGAATGGTGCAAGCTGTGGCCTCTCCTAAATAGGAAAATAAAACAGACAGAAAAATAAGATTCCCTCAAGTTCAAGAAGTGGCTTTGATTGGGGTTTGGGTTTACGAAGGGGTGTAACAGATTTAGAGTTAAATGATGTCTTGGACTTGCTTTAGATCCTTGAAGGGTTTTTTGTGGATCCTTCTTGCTCTGATGGTTGTATCTGGACTTTCTCCTCTTTTGTTGTTTTTTTTTTTCTTGTGCCTTGTTCTTCTAGGCTCTAAACCAACCTTCTAATAGTTTGGGTTGTCCTTTTCCTGTTAAGGAGGTTTAGTGTAAACCTATTCCTCTAAGGATTGGAGGCTTTTGTTGGGAGAGGTTCTTGGAAAGAGTTAATAGTTGCGATCAATTCCAATTAAAATGACCTAAGTGGTGCTTATCCCCAAATTGGTGTACTCTCTCTAAGGCTAGTGGAGAAACTCGCTTTCACTTATTAATCTCCTACCGCTTTGTTAAAACTATCTGGGAATGGTTTTTCTCACTGTTTGTGATTAGGTGGAATCCCCCACCTAATGTGCAAAACCTGTTTACTTCTACCTTTTTTTTTGATAATTGAAATATGGGATAAAAAGACTGCAATCCACCTCAGAAATCTGAAATTACAACCCCCTCCTAGTCTACTAGTAGCCCCCACCCCCCTATAAACCGCATCCTGCCTGTGAATTTGGCATCGATCCACGGTCAAGATTCATCCCACCTGTACGGTGGAGCTAAGATTTCTAGGGGTGGACTGAGCAATAAAAACCCCTTGAAATATTAATTCATTAATCAAAAGAACTGTTACAAGCATCCGTAAGGGAGGCACAGGGTGCAGCCTCACTCTTGATAGAGGCTAAAACTAGCCAAAAAGGAAAAACAAAATACAGAATTTAGCAATTATAAAACAGCCCAAAATAAGTTATCCCTATTAACCCCTTGTTTTGCAAGAGAATTAATCATTTTGTTTTCCAATCTACGAATCCAATTGCATCTTGCATTTAGGTTTTTTGTTAACCACTTGACTTTCTTTATGAGTTCTTTGAAGCACCATACAACTGAGTCCGGTCCATCAACCAAGCCACAGCCACCTTAGAGTCACCTTCAATTATTAGATTTTACAAACCAAGTTGACTTGCTAGCTGAATCCCTTGTATATCTGCTAGTAATTCAGCTTTGGTAGAATCTCCACTTCCCATTGGACCCGAGAAAAGAGCTATAATATTGCTATCCATGCCTCTCATCACCCCTCCAATACCAGATGGTCTAGGGTTACCTCCACTACTACCATCAAAATTAAGTTTTACAACTCCATCAGGAAGGATGAACCCATTCTATAGTAACACTCTGCTTATGAGGTGAACTGCTAGCCACTACCAACCAACACCTCCATAAGTCATCAAAGGTGAAAGACTGGAACAAGATGGTAGTCTTCAACCAATGTATTACCCTTGTCAAAATGCAATCCTTGACTTCTAGCAAACTCCTTTCCTTATCTTGGAAGATCCCGACATTTCTTTCCTTCTAGGTTGTCCACAAAGAAGCTGTCCTAAAACATTTCCATATTACCTTCCCTCTTTCAGTAGGCCATACAAAAGCTGAGGACTTAAACAATAGTCTTACTTCTGTTGGAAGAACCCACCTGCACCCAAAAAGAGCAGAAGGGAAATTAGCAAGTAATATCAATCCTCACGGACCTCACCATTTGATTTGCAAAGAGTACACCAATACAGGGTTAATCACATAAAAGGTCCCTTCTGCTGTAGATTGTCCAAACTCCAAAATATTAATTTTCCCATGGAAAGCTTCCTAGTAAAACACAGAAATCTTAGGGGAATAGGCTTAGTCCAAAGTTCCTTAATGGGAAAGTCCAAAGAAGTAGAGGTAGAACAAAGTGCCTTGAAGAAAGAAGCAATAGAGAAAGAACCTTTTGGAGAGGGAAACCAAATTCTTTTGTCTCGATTGGTAGGGTCTAGATAGACATTACCAAGAATGAGGATGTTCTAAAACATAATCAAGCTCATTATCCCTCAATCCCCTTTGGAAATCAAAGTCCCAATTTAAAGCGAAGGGATTGATAGGAAAAGACATATACCTGTAGATAATTTCTTTTTTGTACAAGGAAATAGAGTAATGGGAGGGAAAAAGGTCCTTTAGAGCTGAATTACCCACCAAAACATCTTCCCAAAAGCGTATTGAGTTTGTAGAGCAAACATCATACCTTATAAAATTGAGAAACAGAGGAAGGAAACCGGAATTTGCTTTCCAAGGTGAAGTTGAAGTAGTCTAATGTGACACACCAGCATTCCAACCATTATGCAAACAAGCATGAATACTGTCAATTACCTCATGCCATAGTGTGACACACCTTGGAAATTGCTTTCCAAGGTGAAGCAGAAGTAGCCTAATGTGACACACCAGCATCCCAGCCATTATGCAAACAAGCATGAATACTGTCAATTACCTCTCATGCCATAACCTTCCTCTCTCCAATGGCCATCTACACAACCATTTCCCCAACAAGGCCACATTCTGGTAAGATAAATTCCCTAAGCCTAATCCACCTTTCTCTTTAGATTGACAAACTATCTCCCACCTGATTAAAAGATCCTTTTTTCCTCCCTAGACTCCCAAATAAAATTCATCATCAACTTCTCTAACTTCTTAGCCTCCCTAGAAGGAATTCTAAAGGAAGAAAGGAAGCAAACCGCTAAGGTAGCTAGTGTGGCATTAACCAGGGTAACTTTTCCTCCTAAAGAGATGTAATTCCTTTTCCACGTTGCCAATATTTTTCAAAAATTTCCAACACCGGAATCTAGAACCAACTCTCCTTTGGGTTTTCACCTAAAGGGAGACCTAGGTAGGACATAGGCCAAGAAGAAATAGGACATCCTAAGCATTCTGCACTATTGCCAACAATTCTCTCATCCAAGTTGATGCCCACCACATAGCTCTTATCCCAATTGACATTCAGGTCAAAACGTTTGATGACATCTTTAAGGTTTCTTACCATCCTTAGATCACCCCTTCACAAAAGATTATTATATCATCAGCAAGTTGGAGATGGGTAACTGAAATATTATTCCTACCTATTCTCCAACCCCTAAACATCTCCTACCTGTCAGCTTTTGAGAGTAGACGACTAAACACATTACACATCAGCTAGACAGCTACAAGGGTGAAATGGAACAATGATAGAGGGTCACCTTGTCTCAAGCCTCTACAAGCTGGAAAGAAGTCCTTGACCACATCATTGGCCAACATTGAGTAATGGCAGGAGTTTATGCAACCCAAGATCGACTTACAACATATCTTTCCAAAACCACATCTCTGGAGTACCTCTACAAGAAAACTCCAATCCACCAAGTCCTAAGCTTTCTGTAGATCTAACTTGCAGACATGGTCCTAGTGGCTAGACCTTCTCGAATCCTCCACACACTCATTTAATTTAATGATTTTATTAAATTAAATTTTGATGGAAGTAGTGCAGGCAACCCATGCCCTTCCGGTATTGTTGGGGTGTTTAGGAATAAGGAAAGCAGAATTATCGGCTTATTCAGGACCAATTGCTTTAGGAGACTCATTAAGAGCTGTGATTCTGGCTGTGATGGAGGGGGTGCAAAAGGCAAAGGATATGAATGTGAAAAAACTGATTATAGAAGGTGATTCAAAGCTGGTAGTGGATTGGCTACAAAAGTAGGGGAGTGGCTTCTGGATATTCAACAGTGAAAAGAAGAAATTCATGTGGCTAACTGAAGATATGGAGGTCAAGGTTTGTTGGTTTAAAAGAACTGCTAATGCGTTTGCTGATGTTCTTGCAAAACAAGGGGTGGGAAGGAATCAAATGTTTTGGGCACAATTGTATTCTGTATTTTTTTTCAGTGAGGAGAGTTAAGGAAGGTTACCTCTCCTCTCGTGTAATTTTATTTTTAATTAATTAATGAAATTCTGTTATTGATAAAAAAAACAATACCGTCATAATCTTTAAGAATCCCTCCAATTCCAGAGGGCCTGGATTGCCTTGACTGCTCCCATCAAAGTTTAGCTTCAAGTAACCTTCAGGAAGGGGATTCGAAAGTCAAATTTAAACTGTCCTTAGAGGAGCTACTTGCCACCACTGACCAATTCCTCCAAATATCATCAAAGGAGAATTGGTGAAAAGTGTCCAAAGTCTTCAGCTAATGTATTACCCTTGTCAACACAATCCCAAACTTCTTCTTTGTTTCTTTCCTCTTTGAATATTCTTGCATTTCTTTCTTCCCAAAGGGTCCAAATCACCGCTGCTCTTGTACACCTTTTATTGGGCTAAACAAAGGTTTATGAGTCAAATAGCATTTTTACCTTCACTGGCAAATTCCACCTGCATCTAAACAAATAAAAGAACCAATCCCAAATAGCTGCAGCAAAGGGACAAGAAATTAGTAATATTTTGCAAAATACCGTTGCTATTGTGAATCTTGGTTCATATCATTTGTTTTTCCATGTGGGACCACGGTACAGTTTTTTCTATATTTTTTTGGGTAATTGGACCAAAGTATAGTTAACCCTTGAATTTGGGTGCTCTTTTCCTCTAAGAGATAGATTGATGACAAGAAGCTGAAAAGTTCCAAACTTTGCCTCTATAAATTTAGAAGCATGGATTAAATGTTTTGTAGGTGACCCTTTCAAAATGTATTCAATTCACATCATTTACTCTGCACACTAGCAAAATTTAACCTGCCAAAGTTCGGGGGTTGATAAAGAAGAAGAAGAGAAAGAAGAATTAGGCGAATTGAAAATAGGCTAACAAACCTCTATATTTCATCATCATCAAAGCCTTATCCCAACTAAATGGTGTCAATTACACAAATCCTGTTTTGCCATTCCATTTTGTTTAATGCCATTTCCATTTTTATGAACACTTAAATCAATCATTTCTTACTGGTACTACTTTCCCCCTTGTCCTTTTTGCTTTGTCCCTAGTCCTTCTATCGTCTTCCACTTGTAACAGATCACTTCTTCTTACAGGTGCTGTAGGTGGTCCTTTATGTATGTGACAACCAACTTAATCTAATTCCTCTGATTTTATCACATATTGGATTCAAATGACTTCATTTCTCGCCCTGTCCTTACTAGTTTTTCCACTCATCCATTTCAGCATTCACATTTTTCCACACATTGTTTTGGGCATATTGTTTCTTGACTGCCCCACACTTCGCTTTGTACATCATACCTGGCCTTACAATTGTTCTATAGAAGTTTCCTTTTAATTTTAAGTGGTATTCACCTATCATATAGACTCTGGATGCACCCATCCATTTTGTCCATTGTACTGTAATTCTACGGGCGACACCTTCCTCAATCTATTTCTTGTTATGAACTATTGAACTGAGGTACTGGAAAGGGTCACATTGAGTTATCTCTTTCTCTCCATCCGAAGGGTATCTTGATTTGCACTCCTGTTATTATTGAATTATAGCATATATTTTGTTTTAGTCCTACATATTTTAAAACCTCTTGTTTTCAAGGTATTTGTCCATAAATTTAATTTTTCATTTAATCATTAATTTGTTTCATCAATTAAAACATTGTCATCAACAAACAATGAGCACATGGAACCTCCTAAATATATGTTTAGTCAATTCATCTATGGTCAATGTGAATAAATAAGGGCTAAGTGCTGAACCTTGGTGAAGAGTGAAGACCTGTTGTAACTGTAAAATTTGATATCTCTCCTGTAGGTTTCTCTCACATTGGCTGTTGCACCCTCTTACATATCCTTAGTTAGGTCTACATACCATATGAAGATTTCTCTAAACTTCCCTATCAATTGTTTGGAAAGAAAGATAGCTTCGATGGTTTAACTCCCTGGCATAAACCCAAATTGATTCTTTGAGTTATTTGTTTCATGTTGTAATCTTTGCAAAATTATTCTATCCCAGAGTTACATGATGTGGCTCATGAGTTTAATACCATGATGGTCATTACAACTTTGTATACCACCTTTGTTCTTAAATATATCCATACTGCTCTTTTCCCATTCAGTAGGCATATATCTACTCTTTCTCTTATTTCCACACCATGATATGGAGGGGTGGACTGGATATGCAGTTATGCACCTAACCTTTGGCATTTTTTTTTTATTTGCACAAAGTGGTAGCACTCAGACTTGTACCTGTGTTCTCATGCTTGTGAGCCTAAATCATTAAACCAAGCAATGGCCCCTATAAACCATGATTTACAATGTGGTAATTTGGACCAGAGTCAGACACATGATGGATCTATCCTTAAATTCCTTCCTTACTCTTATATCACATGTAAATCACATGTACATGTTTAAGTTGCATAGCTACATATGCAAGGGGATAATACAATTGCATTATCTTTTAGAATGCTTATACTGGTAAATAGAGGTGGAAGACGAGCTTTTAGTTGTGTTTTGGGGTCTTGACAATGTGGCACTTTCCTGGCTCTCTATGGAATTATAAGAAGAATTTCTGTGTGCATCATCCTAGGCTTAGCATATTGATGAGATTCTCCTTCACCTAACTATTTTGTACTTCCAGAAGTTGATTAGATCTTCCACTTTTATGCAGTGGTGAAGGCTTATCAGTACACATCACTAACGAGTGTCATGCTACTGGATTGTTGGACAATCCCATGTGTCATTTTCCTTACCTGGTTTTTCTTGAAGACAAAATACAGATTCAGGAAATTTGTAGGTGTAGCAGTTTGTGTTGCTGGTCTTGTGTTGGTTATTTTTTCAGATGTCCATGCAAGTGACCGGGCAGGTAAATTTCTTATTTTGTTCTAGTACCATCACTTCATTATTTGGGCTTGTTTCTTGTGTGCTTGTATGTTTATATGCTCTTTCCTTTTTCTCACTTCACCATTGTCTTGGCTAACATATTTTGTTTTTGGATATTTATCATAATGTGGTTGCAAGTTATTAAATTGTATTATTTCTCAATTTGATTGTGGTTACAAAAGTGTTATGTTTTTCTATTACTTGTGGTTTAAGTTAATTGCCCTTCAAGTGGTTGGATCTGTTTTTCAGTTCATATATTTTATTTCATTTGTGGAGTGGTTTCTTTCAGGGTGGCTAATAGCTAAATGTTACCCTTATTGTGGTTTTATTTACGTTATTGGGAATATGTCTAATGAAAAATAATGGGGCAAACAGAGAGATAAAGAGAGTGAAAGAGAAAAGAGAGAAAAAAGTGGAGAGTTTTTGAGAGAACAGAATAAGTTGGTTGAGTCTGCCCAACTCTATTTTATTATATATGTGAGGTTATAATTAGTAAAAAGACAAGAATACCCTTATACCAAGGATTAGAATATCGATACACACAATACACAAACTGGGTATTGGTGCGTATTGATATGGATGATACACAGTTTTTTTTTTTTTAAATTCTTTTTACTTTTTAATTATATAGTTATTAGAGGGTCCCACCTTATGTTTTAAAGTTTTCAAGAACTTTTTGTATCAGTGTACCCACCTGTATTTGGGTGCATCGGTATGGGTATGGTACACCTCGATATGGGTGTATTGTATTGATATTTTAGTCCTTGCCTTACACATCCACTGTATTTCCACACACTCCCTCAAGTGGAACATATATGTCTATCACATTCAACTTGCCAAGTATGTTGACCACCTTTACCTTTTTCTGTTTTGATGAATGAAAATGATTTATTAATTCAGAAATTAAGGCAATACAGGAAACCCATGAAGAGGTACGAACTGTTACCTCTTCTAACAAAGTATTTCATCAAATTAAAAACAGGAATAAACAGAAATAAAATTACATAGCAGCCGAAAATAAATGATCCCTTGAAGCCCCTTGCTTAGCTAGCCCATCCGCTAAGGTATTTGCTGATCTTTCCACCCAAAGAGAGGTAACTGTCATATTTCTTGTGAGCCAGTTAACTTTCCTCAATAAGTCTCTATATCACCACAGAGCTGATGCTAGCTCTGTCAGCCATCCCACAACAATTTTGGAGTTTCCTTCAACTACCAAGTATTGAACTCTTAATTGTTCTGCAATCTGAATACCTTGTACAGCCGCTAAAATCTCTGCTCTATTTGAGTGTCCTGTTCCCACAGGGCCTGAAAACAAAGCTAAAATGTTGCTCTCCTTATCTCTCAGCACCCCTCCTATCCCAGAAGGGCCTGGGTTTCCTTGGCTGCTACCATCAAAGTTCAGCTTTGCCCAACCTTCAGGCGGAGGCTTCCACACTGCAGATTCCTTGTCCTTCCTCATATGACTAATTGATTTTTTTGAAAAGGAAGACAAATTTCTTAAGCACCAACTTTCTTATTTTTTTTCGATAAGGAACAGTTACTTTCATTGATTAGATTAAATAAAGAGTACAACTGTCACCACCCTCAAAAATAAGTAGTCTTACAAACAAGCCCAAAATAAGGCCTCATTATTGATTCTTTGCTTAGCTAAAGCTTCAACCATTCAATTTGCTAGTCTTCTAGTCCATCTAAACTGCACCCTAAGCTCCCTTGCTAAGCATATAATTTCTCTTAGAGGTTGTTTGAAGGACTGCATAGGTTTCTTGTTTAGAGTCTCCTTCCACTTCTAACTATTGCAGTCCCCATTGTTTTGCCGGTCTGAGACCTTGGACTAGGGCATTCACTTCTGTCCTTAAGAATCTCTTACCCCAATTGGGCTGGAGTAGTAGAAACTGCAAAGCTCCAATCTGATTTGTAACCTGTTAAAGAAAAGTAAGAGAAAAGAGAATTCTGCAGAGATAGTAGAGGAGAGAAATAGAAAGGAATGGGAGAAAGCCAAAAAAACTAATTTGGCTGCCCCTTTCATTAACTTGTATATTCGTCCAAAAAAAAAAAGACTACAATGACACGTATATCCTTAGTAAGTCGGTTACTACTAAAAGCACATAAAAGACACTTTTTTTTTTGATCAGTGCACATAAAAGACACTCTTAATAAAACATAAACTAATGGGCCTTGGGCCCAATAACTCTAACTAAGCATTAGAATAAAAACAAGTGTTATCAGCCCAATCTCAACACTCCTCCTCAAGTTGGTAATAGATGTTACACATTCCCAACTTGCATAAATCATGTTCAAGCTTGTTTATTGTAACACCTTTTGTGAGAACATCAGTTAGCTGTAGGTCAAATGCAACATATGGTAGGCACACTTCTCCGGATGTCACCCTTTCCCTTATAAAGTGTCTATCCACTTATATATGCTTCGACCTATCATGCTGAACTGGGTTAAGGGCAATGTTAATTGCTGCTTGATTATCACAATGCAACATCATAGGTTCTTTTGCCTCTATTCCAATCTCTCCTAACATGGATTGGACCTAAAGGAGCTCTGAAACACCATGTGCCATAGTTTTGTATTTAGCTTTTGCACTTGACCTTGCTACAATTGATTGTTTCTTACTCTTCCATGAAACTAGACTACCTTCAACAAGAGTGCAAACTCTTGATGTAGTTATCTTGTCGTATAGGCATCTTGCTCAATTAGCATCTGTGTAAGCTTCTAACTTCAAATGTCCTTGGCCAACAAACAATATGCCTCTGCTTGGGTGTCCTTTCAAATAGGCAAGTATCCTGTCAATAGTCTCCTAGTGTTGAACCCGTGGGGCATGCGTGTATTGACTTACCACACTAACTACATAGGAGATATCTGGTCATGTCATTCACAAGTATAGCAATTAGCTCACCAATCTCTGATATCTTCCAACATCCTTTATTAGCTCACCATCTGAAGCATTCATTCTGTGATTCTGATCAATAGGTGTATCTGTTAGTTTTGCTCCAATTTTTCTTGTCTCCTATAGTAGGTCCAAAACATACTTCCTCTGTGAAATGAAGATTCCATGACTTGGACCTCGCCACTACAATGCCCAAAAAATACTTCAGCTCCCCAAGGACCTTAATCTCAAACTCATTGTGTAGGTTCTTTTTCAAAGCATCAATTTCTTTCAGATCATTTCTTGTGACTACAATATCATCCACATACACTATCATCACAAGCACCAGTGATCTCCTTCTCTTCATAAACAAACTATGATCAGATTGAGTTTGAGTAGAGCCAAATACAGTCAATGCTTTCCTAAACCTGTCAAATTGATCTAGGTGATTGCTTCAAACCACATAAAGACTTCTTTAACCTACATACCTTTCCTTTGGTCACATCACTATAAAATCCAGCTGAAGGTCCATGTACACCTCCTACAAATCTCCATTAAGAAAGGCATTCTTCACATCAAGTTGGAAGAGGGGCCAACAGTAGGTAGCTACCAAAGATAAGAGGATCTGAACTGAATTCATCTTGGCCACCGGTACAAAGGTCTCCAAGTAGTCTATCCCATAAGTCTGAGTGTACCCTTTTGCAACTAACCCTGCCTTGTACCTTTCTATACTTTGATCAGCCCTATACTTCACTGTATAAACCCATCTACACCCAACCTCCTTGCCATCAGGTAAATCCACTAACTCCCATCTCTAATTTTTAATCAATGCTTCCATTTCCTCCAATGTTGTCTTTCACTCAAGTTTGGAGAGAACCTCACTAACACTCCTGGGTATACACACAAATTCAAGAGAGGACCCCCTATTTGCTAATGTTGTTCATTCATTCATTGCAACAAAACATCTTCTTAAAAGGCAATGAAAGTTAAAAAATCATTATTTTTTATGTGAGAAATAAGAATTCAGACCCTAACATAGACTTGTTTGGGCTTGCCTCGAGGGGTGTGGAACAAAGGCGACTCATAGAATCAAGAATGCAATATGTTTTACATCACAATAGCTACTTTAAGCAATGCAATTAAGGAAAAAAAGAGATTGTGGGTTTTACATGCTTGAAAATGCTTTATATGTTTGCTTTTATTTTTAAATTTTCATTTGAATATGCTTTACATGTTATGTTTATGTATTTTAATTTTAATAGGTTTTTTGAAACATTTATTCCAAAATTTAAGTATATTTTTTTATTAACATTATGCTTAATGTTTTTTTATTTTTTTCGCATTTTTTTTTAAATTTTTGGCATTTTTTTTAAATTTTCTGATTTTTTTTTATTTTTTAGTTTTTTTTTTGTAACTTTGTGCCTTTCTTAAAAAGGTGTGCGCATTTCCTTGCGCCTCAAGCACAAATTGGCCCTTGTGCTTTTTTTGCGCCTTGCGCTTTTAATACACTGTGTAACATCAAGAAACATATGTTGTGGTTCTAAACTCTGTTTTCTAGAATATGCTTCCCTCCAAATAGGAAGCTTGTGAAAATTCATTTAAATTTCTGGAAAATGATTCACTGTAGCAACCTTTCCCAACTATATTGATTATATGCAAAAATCTTGTTTTTCTGTTCCTCTAACTAGGGCCCTATCTTCAACTAGTTGTAAATTTGTAAATATAGGTAGAATTCCAAATGATCAGTTGCAATTCTCAATATTCATGATGGAATGCCATGCTTCCGTAAATTTGATGTTTCATATTTGATTAATCTGATTTTGATCCCTATTTGACAAGTTTTCCTCATACTAATTTGTGTACAATAAATTATTTACCTACTGATCTTAAAGCTATGTTGAATATATTCTAGGTGGGAGCAATCCTGTTAAAGGAGATTTGCTTGTGATTGCTGGATCCATGCTTTATGCAGTCAGTAATGTTAGCGAGGTTTGCTACTTTACTACTATTTCATTTATGTTGGAAAATAACATAGTTCATAGAGGTTTATGGAGCCATTGTTTAGTCTGATGGTAAAATCTTGAGCTGAGGACGAAAATATGGGTTCATGGCCACTTCATGCTAAAAATTCTGAAGGTTAGATCCGAATCCATTCCACCCGTGTGAAGACACTGGATACCCAGCACCAACATTGAGAAGTGGCCTTCTTTAAAAAATGATACCTGATTTTCTTGTGATATGCTAATTTTAAGGACTAAAATGTGATACCCTTTTTATTTCAAGTCACCTAGATAATTTTTTTGTGGTGAATCATATTAAGGTCTCTGAATTTAATTTATATTTATATCAGTTATGTCAGAACTGGTAAATGATGTGGTCCAAAATTACATTGGTTAATGTAGTAGAATACTAGAATATATGGTGCTCTTTACATCTGCATTTAAGTTTGCTTCAGAATTGGTTTGAAGAACAGTGAAAGGAGGGTTCTGTCAGTTTGGCAGCCAGCATAAGAAACCTTTAGCCTATCCAATATGAATACAAATCCTGAATCATTCTACATGGTTCTTTGGCAGGAAACTATTTGTGTAGCCATCCTAAAATAGCTGGATTTAAGGCTGAATTGAGTTGAGTTGACCATCAGGCATCAGCACTGATTTGAAAATGGATGAGGAAAAGCCTGTTAAATTGGTCAATCCACTGAATCATATGATGGAATTTTGTGTAGATAAAGCAGGATTTTTTTTTTTGCTTAAAAAATTAAATGCGTAATTACATACACGTATAAAGAAAACTAATTAAAAAATAAGATAAAAGAAGGGGTATAATCTCAGGTGTCAAGGCATCACCACTTCCCACAAAGCAACATTCCCACTCCAAATACATACCTATCTATCATTAGAATACAACCAATCAAGCAGCCTCCCACTCTTTGCATTCATAGCACTGAATTCGGGAGAAATCCTTCCCTTTTGATTTAGTTGCCAGGAAAACAGCATCAATGTTGGAGTCTTTCCTCCCATCAAGTGTGGTCTGTGTAGCAAATCTGGTTTCAGCTCTCAAATTTCCCTAAGAATAGTATCTAAATCAGAAAGTGTTCCTCAGCTCAGGATATTAGATTTGACAACTTCAAATTCAGGTCTAAGAGGCATTAGCAAATGCATAACCTTCCTTCTATCAAAGTGTTCCTTCATATACTTCACGCAACAATCCGACAGATCCTTTCCCATGTGTAATAACTCATATTCTGTCTAGAGGTTAATAAACCCTGCATAGTGTTCATGGACTTTTCTCTCTTCCTGATAGTATGAGAAGATATCAACCTCTATTTGGTATTGTCTAGAGGTGTTTGATTGCTGATATACCTTCTCGAGATACTCATACATCTCGTAAGCTGTTCTATAACCTCTCATAGGAGTGGCAATGTCAACCTCAACCGATCCAAGAATCCATGATGCAATCTTTGTATTATCAATTTTCAACTGATTTAAAGCCTTAATGCTTGAGTCATCAGGTTTAGGTGTAGTTCCACCCAAGGTTAAAAGTATCGATACGATACGAGTTTTGGTCGTATCATATCGGCACTTAGAAACGGCCGAAACTCTATTTTTTTTGTTTTTTTTTTCAAATTTTGGTTTTTTGGGAAGCTTTTAGCTTGCTTTTTATTATTAAAAATAATTGGGGTCTGAAACTCCTGGAAACAGGCATTTCGGACCGTATCTTTTTCAAAAGATACGATACGATACGCCCCGTATCGGGCGTATCGTATCGATACTTTGAACCATGGTTCCATCTAAATAGCCCCAAAGACCCTTTGCCTCAACATGAAATTGGAAGTTAAACTTCCACAATGCATAACTCAATCCATTAAATTTAACAGGAAGGACATCCATTCTTTCCGAAGCCATTAGCATAAAAAAATTACTGATTTCCAAGACTGATATCAGAAATCGAATAAGAGATGATGATGGGAAAGTACCTTTCACTCAGATGTCCAAAAAAGGAAATTGTCACAGTATGCTGAACTAAGTGAAGAATAAAACCCTTCTTAAACCAAACCGATTTCAACCAGGCTGAAGAGGATCACAAGAACTCCTCTGGGCAACACTAGATCTTGAGTTTCAAGCAGATCTGATATCTCCAAGTGCAGATCGAAGAAAAGAAGTAAATCTGGTGGTACAGACTTCCAGATTTCAGATCTGTCAAGGTCTGATCGAAACAGCCTTGGGAGAGAATATTCTAGGGCACTAAAGGGTTCCCAAGTATTGTTAGGAAGACCCCTAGATGCCAAAAGATTCAAAGGACAAAGAAGTAAACTCAGTAGATCAGATTATGACCTGCTCTGATACCATGTCAGAGTCTGATCTTAGTCTGTAAACCCAGGAAAAAGGAGAGACAGCAGCAGATTTGTGGGTGTGTCCAATTGAGAGATTGACACCCTAAGAAAGATATTTATATTAAACTGTAAAAGGACCAAATTGTCCTTAGTGTACAAGAGAACAAATAGTGTACAAGATAAAATAAAATAAAGCAAGAGGTAAAAATACAAAAATAGCCTCCTCGGCTGACTCTATCTCTACACTGCCTTCTTGTGGGGAGTACTCTCTGTGTGTCTTTTGATTGTTTTTTCATAAAATCTCCATTACTTATCAAAACAATATCCATATTTGAATATTACCATGATTAAATCATTTCCTTTGACCAAATGGATTCTTATAGATGATGTTTTTTTTTTCAATGAGTTAAAAATTCCTTTTTGTGCAGGAATTTCTAGTGACAAATGCTGATAGAATAGAGCTTATGGCAATGTTAGGACTTTTTGGAGCTGTTGTCAGTGCTTGCCAAATGTATCCTAAACTTAACATCAAATTAGTGATATCATCATATGGTCTTTTTGAATCATCATAAACTAAACGACATGGCATTCAATATTCGCGAAGTTGCACCTTTTGATGTTGTACTCCAATAAGATATGTAATCACAGGGTGTGCCCTTAATAAGTTTATTTTAGAAGCATTCTTGAGCGTCAGGAGCTCCGTTCTATCCACTGGTCTACTGGGGCGGTATGCTCTCTCTCTCTCTCTCATACATGAACAATAGATGATGACATAGACACACAAGCATGGTGCACAACAGATGATGTAATTCTTGTCAATTTAACAATTCCTAATTTTCTACAATGTAATAAAATACAAAAAAAAAAACAGAAAATTGCAGAGCAACAAACATATGCCCTGGATTCAATACCTGTCACTTGCAAAGTAATTTCATGGTGATAACCATGCATGCAACTTTTCCATGTCAAGAGTGGGAAAGATATCTAGGCAGATCAAGATTTTGACTTAACGATTCTTCTCTTGTATATTTGGTTCAGGTGCTTCCTTTTATTGGGTATGCCATTGCAATGTTTCTTTTTTACTCATCAGTGCCAATCTTATTGAAGGTATGTGCAATAGCTGATTTTCTATAATGTATATGTGTTATAGTTAATTTTTGCATAAAATACTTGGTTTTATGGCTTATCCAATGATTTTAAGTCAATATTGCATGGACTTGGACATGGGAGTCATAATCCAGTGCATGTTCAAGAGTCCAAGCCAGCAAGACGAGAAAACATGGACTCACAGACACATCTATACCATTAAAATAATGCATACTTTTTGAAATCAAACATTCTAAACATTCCAAACGTTACGAAAAATATCATTTTCTCGTACATTAGCCGTTCATTTACATCAAACAAACTAGGTGATAAAAAAGATAGGTTATGTTCCCAACATGGATAACAAGACCATTACCCAATGTTTGTCCCAACTATCTGGTATCTTGGGAGGGGTGGACTGGATACGGTCCTAACCTTTGGAATATTTTTTGCACAAAGTGGTCACTCTCAGACTTGAACCTGTGTTCTCATACTTGCCAGCCCAAGGTTTTACCATTACACCAAGCAATGATCCTTTTTCTCACAGAATGCTTAGATATAATGAAAGATGATTGCATCAGCTATGATACTAGGCATCACCGCATCAAGATAGAATGGGATTTGGAACTTTTAAGTTGGAGAGTGAAACTAAAAAATATAAAATCAATTTGCAAAAAATTAAATATTTTGAAATAATGTAAAAAAGTACATATTTTCACTTTGCCAAAAATTGCAAGATAGAATTACGAAATTTACTATTACTAAGTGGATTTCTTTTAGCATGTTCCTTGTCTTTGAACTCCATCTCTTATGCTGAAGGAAATTAATCCCTTCAAACTATTGTGTTCTTGGTAATATAAAAGGTTTCTTATTTGTCTTTAATTAATCGAGCCTCCTTAACATGGTAATACTGTTTACAGGAATGTAGCAGTAGTATATAAATTAGCAATATAATCTTATGACCTGCCTTATTTTCTGCAATTACTAGAATCATTAGTTCCTAAGCTCTCTTTCACTCCTTGCAGCTCAGTGGTTCCACTATGCTGAACCTCTCTCTGCTTACCTCAGATATGTGGGCTGTCCTTATCCGCATCTTTGCATACCATGAGAAGGTTTGACTGTTAAAACATACAATATTAGTCCTCTTATCATCAGATTTAAGTAAATGCTGAAGGCTTACTGAAATGGGTTTCTAAGTGATGGTTTTGCGTCTTCAGGTCGACTGGATGTACTTCATAGCCTTTGCTGCTGTTGCTGTTGGACTTGTTATTTATTCTGGGTATCTTCTACCGGGGCATCACATCTTTATTTACTTTTGTTTGTTAATTTATTGTGATCAAAGCTTGGCTACCATGTTGATCCATTAAACTATTTTTTGTGGCCTTTGAAACATGTCTCACCAAATTATTTCTACTCCTTGATATCGAATCTCATGTCTCTCAGTACTACTGTCTTCCTTGTCTAGAAAACTATTGTAGTTTGTATTGTCATAATTAAATGGTTAGACTTTTGGAGTCAAGTACAAAGAACGAAATAGGATACTGAGAATCTCCCTAGGCCTTTAGCAATGGTCTATGTTATTTGATTTTCATTAACATAATCGTGACCTTGGTTCTGGTGGTTTTCTTCAGTGGTGTAAAAGAGGATGGTACTGGAGCTGAGGCGACTGAGGATCCCGCAAATCAAAGAACGGAGAGGGATGAGGAGGCCGGTATAGAACATTGTCATGGGTCTACAGTAGAGAGCTCCAAATCAGATGGTAAACAAGATTATGCACCCACTGCTCCTGCAGAAGTGGTTGGCAACAGATAGCAGCAACAAGAACTTCAGAAAGGATGAATAAGTAAAGAGACATTGACAATTTATTTTTTTTTGTGGCAGTAGGGAAACGTCCTTACTACAAGCCCATTGGCAGCGAGTATGAAGCACTGTTGCTGTCACGAGTGGAGGTGCAGGTTTAGTCCATATTTATGGCATGGGTGATGATATACACCACACAAACGTTTCTTCTAAGCAAGAAATGTAGTTATTTTCATTGGTAAAATATATGTTCATACTCTAGGCTATTTTGTTTTCCTCCACCAAGTCAGAATGCTGGTTCTACTTTTTTTTATTCATTAATTGAAATAAAATATTAGACGTTACTCCATGTGTGATCATGATGTATATATTTGCAGTAAAAATTGAGCACTTGTTGCTCGTCTCATTAAGTGCATGGTGGTGAGATACAAGACAGTTTACTTCATGAAAGCTAATATTAAAACGGGTATGAATTCAGGGCAACGAAATTCCCGTTTATGATGTATATATTTGCAGAGAAACAACTTAGCATTGTACAACATACAAGAGAAAAGGAGAAAGCGAAGAATATCGACTTCCTTGGCCTTGTGGTAAGCATGACTTTGAAGGAGTTTAGAAGGTTGTGTAATCTGCCATGGCCTCAAACCGGTTAGTGGAAAGGAACACACCAGCGCCTTGGCCACTTGAAAGTCCCAAACGCCGTCCCCAACTATGACTCACCACTGGAGGGTGAAGATCTGCCAGTCATGGAAGACTTCTTCCTGTGTTCCTTTGGTCGTATTGCTCCCCTGATCACGAATCACGATGACTCGGTCATCATCAGAGATAAAACGACCTTGTCCTCAGGTCGTCACTTAGGTCTCAACGATGCCGATGTCATGTCCGCTGCTCGGGCCTCTAAAGTATTGCCAGACCACGAAACCTTCATCTTCATGATTGATGAAAGGCTGACCCTGTCTTATGAAGCCATTTGATTATCTGCACCAGCAAAGTTGAGCCAAAGTTAGTACAACCATAAAGAAAAAAAAATCAAAACAAAGTCTGGACAGAACGGTTCAGACTTCAGATCCTTACTAGGCATTGCTTAGGTTGGCCCCGGCCAACTTGGCCTCGGTTTAGATATGCTCTGGTCTAAGCCTTAACTAGGCCTTGTTCTTCTTTTGGAGATAACCAGTTTTCTTTAGGAACTGTTCTGATCAGTCCTTTTGCTGCTGTTTGCTGCGAAGGACTTGTACCAAAACTGTATTTCAAAAATCACTCCTATTCTTTCAGACTGTTGTTGAACCCTAGATCTGGTGTCGATCTCTTCTCTCTCTACACTTTTGGTGTTTGGATCATTCCTGATAGGGTTTTTGACTTCTTCCAGGTTTCGATCCTGGACTTAGATTTTTTTGGACTCATACTCGATCTGCGGTATATTTTGGGTGCTTTTCTGGACTGTTACTAATTTCTAAGTTGCTGGTATATTATCTTTGGTTACTCCACTTATATCAGATTGATATTGAGCGGATTAAGGAGGGAAATTGGTTACTCCACTTATATCTTTGGTTACTTCATTCTTCAGGTCTAACAACGCATACAAGGAGGGAAATTGGTCCATCAGAGATGAGTTCCCAACCCAAGGCTGCTCCCAGAATTTTACGAGATTATCAGAGTTTAGGTTATACCTTATCCAAAGGGAAAAAACCAGAAGCAAATCATGAATGGTTTTTTAAGGAGAAACAGCTGTAATCTTTGCCAAGATTCCTGGATCCCAGTCATTGTCTTCTAGCCCATGTATACTAGCCACAATCTTCGTTCAGAGTTTTATCCCTTTCCATTGGAAACCTCCATAACCATTTTCCCAACAATACAATGTTTCTTTTCTTGATATTCCCAATCCCAACCTCTCCTAACTACTTGCTTCTAGTTACCACCTCCCAATTCACTCTATGGTCTTTCTTTCCTCTCCTGGTTTCCACAAAAAATCCCTCGTTAACATAGTAGCATACATTGCTAGGAACCATTTTGGTAGGGTCTTGAATGTGAAAGTGTATTCAATTGGCAAAACTTCTATTAGCTTTGCCAAAGCTTGAGTTACTTGGAAAGCCCAATGCTGATCTCATGATTCGTGAATCGTAATATGCTTGTTATAATTGAGGGTGATTCCAAACTTATCATCGATTGTCTACTTCAAAAGGTGTACCCTCCATAGAGATTAAGGAACATTATTGAGAAGTGACATCCTGATTCATAATATCAAGTACCATCATATCTATTGCAAAACTAATTAGATTGATTAAGTATATGGTTGGCACCGATGCTATAGATACAATATGGTTTTCTCAAAAAAGTATCATTTTTTTTGTTTGAAAACGTTGCTGTCAGGTAGAACGTTTCTTGGAGCAACAAGTCAACAACACTTTTTGTTTGGTACTACTGCTCCATATCTATTTTCAGCACTGGTACCCATTATAGGAAATCCACGTCACTACCACATCATGTCCTCATTGGCAGCAATGAGATGCAATTTGCGAATACATCAAATTCAGCGGTGCTTCAAACCACACCTTCTCGATTTCTAAGGCATGGCTTGGAGAACCGTTTTCTATAAAAAAACGGTTCCAAACATATTGGCATTTTCTGGAGCACCATTTTTTCTGACGTGACACTGATGTGCCACCGTTATCTGGAGCAATGGCATCAATGCCAAACAGATACCTAACTCACCAGATAGTGATTGATCTTTATCTGTTAATGAGCTTCCATGGGACTTGTATTTCATTTGTTTTTGTGATGTTTTGGGATGTGCTACCTCTGTCTTGTGTAACCCCTTCCGTTTTATCAAAAAAAAAAAAAAAAAAAAGAAACATCAATCAGAAAATAATTATTCATTGCTTTTGATTTCATAAATTACAATGCTCAGACGAGCTCTCACTTGATGTCAATGACTCTCCCAGGAACTCCGATCTTAGTTGCATCAGCAGCCGACCCAAGTAATTTAATCCTTCTCCTTCTCGGCCTCCACCCCAGAAGAGATCATATGGTGAGGCTTCAACAAGGACTGATCCAGCCGTTGACAGTAGCAGAGAATTCAAATGAGGGTAGATGGAAAACTTGCACTTCAGAGCTTTATACATAACATCAATCTTTGCAGTTTCCCAATCAGGTCTTACCTATATGTTGGTAAAGATAAAAAAATCACAAAATCAAAGGAAATTAATAACTAATAAACAATTAATAGCAAGATAATACCAACAATCTACGTTACATAGGCACATATAATACGGGTCTCAAGTCTTTAACAACTACCTACCGTGCAAAATTTACAGTTATTCATGTCATGAAAATCTTTAAGTACGTTGGCTGAAGTGCAAAATAGACAAGAACTTAATTGGGTAAGAAGGTAGAAATGAAAATGAACGCCATAACCTAATGTTGGTTCCAGCTATCTGGGGTCTTGGGAGTCCTAGCTATTTGCATTTTTTGCACAAAGTGACTGCTTTTTTACTCAAATCCACTTGCCAGCCCAAAATTTGAGAATATGTGACTAAGAGTTAATAAATATATCTAACATTTGAGAAACTAAGTTTAAGCTTAATAATGGTTTAGAATGTTGTCACCAGGATAAAACTACGAGTATCCAAGTTTTAGGTGATAGTTTCCTTGATACTATCTGATAGTGGAAATGGTATGTTTTTTACTCATTTTTTTTTCTCACAAAATGGATACTGTTATGATCTAAATATTTTTTGATGAATCCGTTATGACCTAAAATTAAATACTGTTGTGTAATTTTTTCAAAACATTTCACATTTTCAAGCCAAAAGGGAAATTCCAACTCTGAAATTTGAATGTTTACCCACTTACCCATATAGAAAATGGAGAGCATTTGAGAAGCAAAGAAATCCTACACGCAAAAATAAATTTTGTGAATGAGATTTAAGGTTTTCAGGAGACATCTTAGAGCTGCAGACCACAGTCAAAAAAGCTCCGCCAATCCCTAGGGACATCTCTAATAAACCATGTGCCAGACTTGTATTCCCTGCTACATTCATGAACTAGGAATATGCTGCAAAACAGCCTATAATGAATGTAAAAGACTATTAGACATGACCCCGGGGATTGGAGACTCCTTGATAATTGAATCATGGATGCCCTCCAGTTCTCCTCTCACAAGGGATATGCTGCAAGGAAAGCCAATAATATCAACACTCAAGATATGCTATCTGGTAAAATCAAACTCATGATTTAAGCCTACCAAAAATTCAGACACCCAGCTCTTCTCAATAAACTTTCTATACTGATTTGCATCCAGTGGATCCCTCCATTCAAATGGCCCTAGGTGGTTGTTCTCCTAGAAAACAGCCTGTAATGAGAAGTACATTGCAACCAACCTCTCCCCGTCTCATATTGCTGGCCTCATTTCTAAGATGATAGATCTAAGTAGTATTCCAGGCTAGAGTATAAGTGGCATTAACTCTATCTCAAATCTCTTCCTGCATTTTCTCAATTGAGTTTGCCACTGAAGAATGAATTTTAAGCAAAGATAAGTAATACATTGGCAAATTGGATAATACACTTTTAATTAAAGAATTTCTTCCCCCAAGTACTTCTCTTTCCAGCCCACCAACATTTGATCAATTCTGTCCAGAACAAGCTGCCAAGTTGAAAAGACTGAAGCCTTTGCACCTATAGGTAATCCCAGATATGTGAATGGGAATTCCCCTACCATACAACCAAAATTTGATGCACACTCCTCAAAATAAGTTTGAGAAATGTTGCCCACTCCAATCATCACACTTTTCTTCAAATTAATCTTTTGCCCATATAACACCTCAAAGCTACTTAAACCCTCAACTTCAGCATCTGATCAACTGAACCTCCCAAGAAACACTCAATGTATCACTTGCAAACTGAAGATGCATAATGGAGACTCCATCCCCACCCACTTTGGGACCTTCAATCATACCCAATTCTGCTACCAAGAAAATCATACGCTTGGGGAGGATGATGGTGGTGTTATTCTAGATCTTATCAAGTTACAATACCAGATTGGAAGGTTGTATTTATATATGATCCAGCGTCCCAGCCTAACATTGCTTTTGTAGTTGAGGTTTTCAATTAGTTCATGAATTCTCCCACCTAGCTTTTGCTGAAATATCCTTGGATACTTGAAGAAATGTCCTGGAAACTCATTCGTTCATGTGCCACTCGCTGTCCTATTGCTAAATTTGTCTTATTCTAATTTGTCCCCTAGCTACCATTCCTTTGTTTCTACTCTTTCTTCTATCCATATTCTTTCCAGGTACTTTGAAGCTGGAACAGATCCTATACGAAGGGAGGCAATGAATGAGGAGATGAGGGCTTTGTTGAAAACCAAAACGTGGGAGCTAATGGATCTACTAGAGGGGAAGAGTACACTGGACGTAAGTGGGTGTTTACTGTAAAGCATAGGACAAATGATTTAGTGGAAAGGTACAAGGCACGACTTGTAAGTTGTAACAAAAGGGTTTATTTAAAGGGAAGGGATAGATTACAAGGAGACATTTTCCCCAGTTTCCAAGATCAACACAATTCATGTTTTACTACCCTTAGTAGCTAATTATTCATGGGAACTACACCAGTTAGATGTAAAGAATGCTTTTCTAAACGGGGACTTGCATGAAGAGGTGTTTATCAATCCTCCTCCTGATTAAAGAAGGCTTTGTATGGTCTGAAGCAATCTCCTTGTGTATCGCTTGAGAGGCTATGTGGAGTCATGAAGAATGTTGGGTACACTTAGAGTGGTGCTGACCATACTCTATTCATAAGAAGACAAAGTGAAAAGCTTACAGGTCTCATAGTATTTATTGATGATATGTTATCATTGGGAATGACTCAAAAGAGAAAATGAGACTGGAAAAATTTTTAGCTTCTGAATTTGAAGTCAAGGATTTGGGACACCTTAGGTACTTTCTAGGGATTGAGGTTGTAAGGTCAAAAGTAGGAATATACATTTGTCAAAGAAAGTATATCCTAGACCTATTAAAGGAGATAGGTATGACAGGGAGTAGACCTACTGGTACACCAATGGAGATAAACCATGGGTTGCAAGAGTTGGATGGTGAAGACTACCTAGACAAGGAAAGGTATCCAAGGCTTGTGGGAAATTTGATATACTTATCTCTTGCCAATCCGGATATTACCTATGTAGTACATGTTGTGAGTTAGTTCATGCATGCTCCCAAGGTGCCTAATATGAAAGCTATTACGAGGATCCTCAAATATTTGAAGACATGTCCTAGAAGGGAATTGATGAGGGGCATTTTGGTCAAACCACTTGATGGTGAACACGTGGATGCTGTCAGCAACATAGTGTCCAACTCAGTAAGACAGCTCGCCAGCTCAACACGTGGCAGTTTATAACAGGTGTGTGGCCGAGCTTGGCCCACCGACAACAAACAGCTCGCCCAAAACCGTCCCGCGCGCCATATCCGATCTAGTACCATTACCGAGACTACATGAACAGCTCGCCAAACCATGCACCACAAGACCCACGGGCGACCTGTAACCACCGCACGAGTTTAGCAACTAACGGACCACCATTCCCTCAAACTACGGAAACAGCTCCGTAGACGTTGATCAATGACACCTGAATTCCTAGTAACTATAAAAAGAACCTAGGGATTCTCTGAAAGGTACGCACACTGAAGCTCTTGAACTCTCTCAAAGATTCTCACTAAATCTCCTTACTGACTTAAGCATCGGAGTGTTCTCCTGGGTAAAACCTACCCAGGCACTCTAACCCTTGTTCCTTCACAGCATCTCTCAGCTCGAACGTACAGATTCACAGCTCGGCATCGCCAAGTTGGAACCCAAGTCAAGCCACATCATTGAGACACAAGGGAGTGAGTGGATTTGTGCCTCATCAAGAATTATTCAAGAAGCATGGTAGACTTGAGACTAAGGCATTTACCAATGTTGATTGGGCAGGTTCTATAGGAGACAGAAAGTCTATATCAGGGTATTGTACCTTTGTGGGAGGAAACTTAGTTACATGGAGAAGAAAGAAACAAACTGTTGTTGCAAGACCAGTGCAAAAGCAAAATATAGGGCAATGGCTCATTGTGCTGTAGAGTTGTTGTGGCTCAAAAGACTCCTAATTGAATTGGACATAAAAATAACTGAGCCTCTCAAATTAAATTGTGACAACAAGGTTGCAATCAATATTGCAAATAATCCAGTACATGACAGAACTAAACAAATAGAGGTGGACAAACACTCCATACAAGAGAGGACTGTCTCTAGTGAACTTCGTATTCCCTACATGCCATAAAAAATGCAACTAGTTGATGCACTTACCAAAGGATTACCTTCAATGAAGTTCCATGGTCTTCTTGGCAAGTTGGGCATGATGGATATCTATGCTTAGCTTGAGGGGGAGTGTTGTGATAGGTGATCACACGTGTGGTCCCATTGGGATATTTATGTTTTAAGTTAAGGGTGTTAGTGGGCCTTAAGTTATTGGACCTTATTTAGTCATGTTATTGGCTTTCTTTGGTCATTATTAATCAGGGGCATTTCGGTACAATCATGTATTATCATACACCTTTTCTGACAAAAGAATATTTTGGCATTAGGTGAGATTTGCAAGAAAAATGCCTATAAAATGGTTGCAGGATACCCAACCAATAACAATATGGACAAATTTCTTAAAGTACCCCTAAGTTTTGGGAAATTGACCAACTCTACCTCTACTGTTTACATATTGTATTAAAGTACCCTTAAGTTTGTTGACAATTGACTAAACCTTCCCTGCCATTAGAGCTCATTAGCATTCTATCACAATCCGTTCACATGTGAGACAACATGACGTATAAATTTTTTTTAAAACCCAATACTACCCTTTTGTGGTCGATTTTGCCCTCCAATATTTTTCAAATTTTCAAAATAAAACTCAACATCCACCTTGCAAACAAGAATACAACCTTCAACCTTTACTCAGCTAAAGGTCAAGAACATAGAAGGGAGATCTGTGACGGAAATGAGTGGTGTCTTACTACCCATTTCATTGTACTCTTCTACTTTACCTCTTAGAAAAGGGTTATTTGCAGCTGGGAGTTTTATGCAATCAAAGAAATTGATAGATGTTTAATTCCTTCTTTTCCACTTGGATGGTTTTAGATTTGATCATTGAAATTCCTCAGCATCTAGGTTTCTTCTATATTTTTTCAGTTTCTAGAGTTGCAGGTTGAGGTAAATAAAATGCCCTTAGAAGATGCATATCTTACTTTGGGTGTTTATTCGTATTGCCATTTGGATTTGATTCATCAGTTATTTCCTCCTTGAAAATCATTCTTGATTTTCTTTCTTGTTTCCCCAGTTACAAATCATTATAGAGTGATTTATGAATGAAGTTCCCTTTGATTACCAAGAGGAGGATATGAGAACTTGTAGATCTTACTCTGTTAACAATCCTATGTAGGAGAAAACAGAGCTTTTGGATCTTCCACCTATAAGAAACTTGTGTAAAGAAAAGAGAAACAACAAAGACCTATCAAGGTATTCTCTAAGAATTAGTGGACCTTCCACCCTTACCAAATAGACTTCCAAGAAAGCTTTTGGAGAACCAATAAAGATGGAAAGAACCAAAATGTCATGTTTTCTGGACTCCATGCTTGAGTGCCATTGCTGTTCTTGCCTCCGTGCTTCAGCACTGAAGCTCAACAGTCTCTCTCCACTTTCAAAAGAGATATTATTTAGGTATTTTTAGGCTCGGATATATTTTGGGATTTTTTCAAGAAAAATGAGGGAGGGTGACATGGAAAACGAATTGGATGCTATGTCATCATATAATGAAGATTCTCTTACCTGGTGTAGGAATCTGTCCAAACATTTCAAATGTTATATATTATGGTCCTTGCGATTTCTGCTTCGGCTGGGTTGGAGAAAACCAGCAAGGTAAGGTCCTTTCGGTTTCTGTTTCAGCTGGGTTGGAGAAGACCAACAAGGTGTTTGTGTTATTCAGATGTTTCACTTTGAAAATTTAAAGAAGATGGGTAAAATAGTCTTTTCCATCTTAGCATAGTGTAACACATACAAAACTGACTTAGCAATAGTATCTGATCATCAGCTCTCCAAAAACTCCATCTCTAGCTCTCCAGAGCATTCCTTCTTCTTGGAGGATTTCATTCTTCTTCACTTTTCTTAATAATCACTTATTGTTGAAGATTTACAAGTGATCTACAGACTTATTTCCAGATGGATATTTCACTGAAAATTTCAATGTGGTGAACAAGAATTAGAGATAGTTTAGCTAAGTTTGCATTTGAGGAAACAAAGAAAATGGTCGTCATAGTAACATTATTATGATTACCATCACCTATCATCACTAAATTTCATACATTATAATGATAAAATGCATTTCCGTAAGCCAAAAAACTGCTGAGCTCAATTAGGAGAATCCATGGGGATATATTAAACCCCAGGGGAGAAGATTTTGCATTTGTCTGGAACCTGAAGCATATTTCTAGAATTGAACTTCTGTTTTCAGTACTTTAGAAGAAAAAGATAAGATATTAGATTGGGCATTATCATTGTAACATGATCATATCAATACTTTTTATCTTTGCACCAATTGTTTAGCTGATAGAGCCATACCAGATCAGGGCATTGCTTCTGTATTTTCCTTCCTTCACGTGCTGCTTCCTCTGGGCTCTTTGATGATTTTATTTTCTCAATACAATCTCTTGCTAGAGGATCATTGACCCCAATAAACTTGTGTGCCTGAAAACGGAAGGATTCTTACAACACTTCCCAACATAAGTTGCAAAAGAAAACTAAATCACATATAAGAAATTAGCAGCAAATTAACCTGATAATAGTGTTCCACACTTGGCCATGTAAGATAAACTCCATTTTCATCGGTCATATGCAATGGATATGGAGAGAAGTTTGAGAAAGCACCATAAGGATCCCATGCTTTATAAAAGAATAAGATTCTTGCATCATCAGGAGTAACAGTTGGATCAATTGCTGAAGTTTCATTTACTGATGGAATTATAGGTGTTAAGTCTGGAATGGGCTGAAGAAATCCACTAATAAGTATGTCAGGTCCAACCTGTAAAACATGAACCACAGGTAAGGCAATCACACAGAAACAATCAATGTAAACATAAAATATCACATTAGTGTCAACAGAATTCTTCAATGATGTTTAATTGTTGTTTATTCAGTAGTTGTGTATTGTACTATGTACGGGTTAGTGTCAAGGGCATTATTGTCCTTTTACATTATTTTATTGTTGTCCTAATATAAATAAGAAGAGGGGCTGCCACCCACTCACATTTTCTACTCCAATCATTCTCCTCTTTTCTAAGAATTTCAAGGCTGACAAGATGGTAAGAACAATACATATGAACAAGACAACTTTCCTATACATTTCTTTTCCTGTTTTTGACTTTCTTTCACTAGTGGAACTGAGGGAAGAAGACAGCACTAATCAATCGAAACTACCTTCTTTTCTCCTTTTCTTCTTCTTTGTTTTTGGTTGTAAAATCAAGGTTGGTTTTTTCTCAGACCTGTATTGTGGTAGATGATGTGAACAGATTCCTTTTTTGGAATTAGTCACAGACTCACAGTTTCATGTGCCACAAGTGGTGTACATCTCATTGGTGAAGTTCTGAAGGCTGTGGAGTGTCCTGTAATGCCTGCTGTTGGTTGGGTGTAAGGTTTACCCATCAATTTGCTTATGTAGATTAGAATTTTTTTTATCAATAACAGAATCAAGTTCATTAAAAAGAGGAAGTTTAGTACAATAATAAAGGGAAGGGATAAACACTCTCAACCCTACCCAACAGAAAAATTACAATGCAGCCCAAAATAAATTATTCCTTCCCACCTGTAGTTTAGCAAGTGTATCAGAAAAAGCATTTGCATCTCTTCTGACTCAATTACAAGTCACGTCTACCCTTTGTAGCAATTTAACAGCTTTCCTCTTCTCATAAATGTAGCACCACCATCCATCTTCCTCCTCTCTTGGGAGAGTTAATTACCAACTTTGAATCACCTTCAATTAACAACTTCCTAATATTCAGTTCTTTAGCCTGTTGAATCTTCCATAACAGCCATAATTTCAGCTCTTAATGATTCCCCAACTCCAATTGGACTTGAGCAGAGTGCAATGATATTCCCTTATTATTGAAAATTCCTCCTATGCCAGATGGACCTGGATTGCCTTCACTACTACCATCAAAGTTGAGTCTAATGAAGCCACTAGAGGATAGGGACCAAACAGGCCTAACCACCTCCTTATTGAGAGCAGAATCAGCTACCTCTCTCCACTTTCTCATCACCTCAATGTCAGGTAAATCTTTAAAGATATCCAATGACTTAATCCAGTGAACCACCTTGAATAGCTTCGATGACAGCTTCTTTGCTTCTTGCTTTGTCAAGGAATAGTCTTTGGTTCCTCTCCTCCCAAATTGTCCAACACACCGCTGCCCTTGTGCATCTCCATAGTAGTCTTCCCCTCTTCTTTGACCAGCTTAGGAAAGTAAAAGCAAATAGGATGTGTACATTAGGGGGAGGGTTCCACCTGAACCCAAACAAAGAAAAGAACCATTGCCAAATTGAAGAAGAAAAAGGGCAGGAGATTAATAAGTGATAGCAATTCTCACCATTAACTTTGCAGAGGGAGCACCAATGAGGGGAAAGGCACCAACTAGGTCATTTTATTTGCAATAGATCACAAGTATTAATTCTTTATACAGTTCTCAGCACAACCCACCCACCATGAGCGGAATAGGATTACTCCAAATCTCTTTAGAAGGAAGGAAGACCCTTGGCTTTCAGTCGATTGAATAAGGGTTGAAAAAAGGGAGCCACAAGAAAAGATACCTGAGGGTGACGAGGTCCATATTCTCCTATTCCTCTTACCAAGTTCTAGACACAACCCTTCCAAATTTCTTAAAAAGAAGGCCGAATTTACTCCAAACCTTCAAGGGCCACTTAGAAATAAAAACTTGTTACATTTTTACAAAAAGGGCATTCCCAATAGCCTCTTGAAAATAAAAACTTGTGACATTTTACAAAAAAAAAAAGGAGGCCAAATTGTTGTTTATCACCTCACATTTGTATTCTATGTGAAGCAAGTGAGGAATCTGCACATCTATTAACCTCCTACACTATGCTGTTAGTCTATGGAATAAACTTTTTTCTCTATTTGGTAACAGGTGGAGTGCCCCAAGGAATGTAGAGACCTTATTTAAAAAGGAGTTCTTTGATCCTAAGACAAGAAAAGGAAAAAATATGTGGAGATGTATAAGGGCAGCTACTTTATGGTCTGTTTACGAGGAGAGGAATGATAGGATCTTTAATGAAAAGAGAAGATCCAAAGAGTGGAAGAAGAAGAAAATGTGTTGAATACAGCATTTTTTATTGAAAACGGTAACTTTCATTAAGAATATTAAATAAACATCTTACACTGTCAACCACTCAGACAAAGAGTGTTGACCCCAAAATAACATTAAGAATTACAGTACAGCCCAAAATAAGTTTTCCCTGAAGATCCCCTGTTTTGCCAAGCTATCTGCCATAGAGTTTGCCGATCTCCTTACCCATTTGAATGTTACTCCAACTTCCCTTGCCAAGCAGATTATTTCCCTAATTTGCTGTCTAAACTTCCGTACACCCAACTTCTTTGTTTGCAGCCACCTTATTAACAATTTAGAGTCTCCTTCCACCTCCAAGTTCTGAAACTCCCATTGCTTGGCAAATCTCAGGCCTTGTAGGAGAGCCAAAATTTCAGCTCTCAAAGAGTCTCCCACTCCTATGGGACCAGACTATAGTGCCACCATTCTGCCCTCCCCATCCCTAAAAACTCCCCCAGCTCTTGAGGGTCCTAGATTACCCATGGAGCTTCCATCAAAATTCAATTTTACCCTTTGTTGTGCTGCTGGTGTCCAAGAGGGCTGAAAGACAGATTGTCTGGTTGAGGAGTTTGCCACTGCTAACAAGCCCCTTTGTATATCATCCATTGAAAAATCTTTAAATAAATCACTTATTTTCAGCCAATGTATGACTTTAATGGCTACACAGTCAATGATTTGTTCTGTTGATCTTTGTTCCCCTTGGAATATTCTGTTGTTCCTTTCTTCCCATAAAGACCAAAGAATGACTGCTCTTGTTGCCCTCCACATCACTCTTCCCCTTTTCTTTGAAAGTCGGAAGAAACTTGAGTTGAAAAGACTTGTCACATCCGGGGGAGTAGTCCACCTGCAGCCAAATAAGGAAGAAAACCAATCCCATACACAAGAAGCCAAGGGACAAGAAAGTAAAAGATGTGTTACTGTCACCATTTCCCATACAAAGGCAACAAACATGAAGGGAGAGGCACTGATTCGGCCTTCTTTTTTGTAAATTATCTAGAGTATTAATCTTCTGAAGCACCACCTCCCAATAAAAGGCTCTTACTTTTGGGGGTACAAGATTACACCAGACTTCCTTTGTGGGAAAGGAACCTCCTAGGTGTGAAGAATGGAGGGCAGAGAAGGAGGCACAAGTATAGGAGCCAGAGGGGGACTTTAACCAGATCCTGTTGTCATGACAAGATAGGTCCAGGAAAACAATATTAAGAAGTGAGATTAGTTCATCTACTAAGTCCATTTCATGATCCCTCAACCCTCTTCTTAAACCTAGATCCCAAGAATTTTCATTAACAAGCACTGAAGAAATCACTTTCCCTTTGTTGAGGGACAAAGAATAAATAGGTGGAAATCTGTCTTTGAGAGGAATGTCCCCAAGCCAGATATCCTCCCAGAAACGAATTTTATTACCCAAACAAGCATCATACCTGACCAGCGGAAGGAAAGAAGGTAGTAAACTGTGAATTTCTTTCCATGGAGAAGCCCTTGTTGCCCTAGGATCAAGACCAGTGTCCCATCCGTTGTCTGCCATGCCATGAATTCTTACAATTACATTATGCCATAGGTTCTCTTGTTCCAAAGGAAACCTCCACAGCCATTTACCCAGTAAAGCCATGTTTCTAAGCTTGATGTTTCCTTACCCTAGACCTCCACTATCCCTACTCCTTGAAACCACCTCCCACTTTACCAAATGATTCTTTTTTGTATCCCCTGGCTCTCACAAAAAGTCTCTCATCAATTTCTCCAGCTTATTGGCCACTTTTATGGGGATCTTAAAGGTTGAGAGGTAATTGTTAGACAGTGTATGCCCTTAGCTCCAATCAGGTTGATGTACTTTTTGGCATTTATTGTAAATGAATAAAGTACATAATTGATTCATGTTATTATGGTGTGTTTCTGTGTAATACCCATAAACTGGACACTTATGAGACTTGTGTTAGTTTAGAATCTTCACAGCCGTTGGATAAACCTCCCTAGGTTTATCCTGCCAAGGCTGATACTAATGTGCTACCAAGTCGGTTGGGGTGGCTTGTCTCAGCTACCAGGGTGAGACCTGAAGCACATGTAGTGTGGGTTTGTTTGAAACTCTGAACAAGACCATTTTCCAGTTATGCCCTGGACCTTGGAAACATATGGGCAAAACTGAAAAGTTACACCTAACCCCTAGACTCGATTATGGTACTGCACAAGGTGTTGGATTGGGCTGTCTTTGACATGCCAATCAGTGAGATCCTTAGCAGGGGTCAAAACCTGGGTATGTTGGGGCAGTCTGAGAATTCACCTGAGTGAGTGATCATAGTGACAGAATCAGCCCCTTTGTCGGACAAAGTGAATGATCGGAGAATGCACCCTCTCTAATGGAAACCTAAACTGTCGGCAGTTGATTTCAAACTTGTTGAGATTTGTTTTGCAAAATATATTTATATAGAGATATACATATATATTATGGTTTCACAAAATGTTTGCAAAAGGTTTTAATTCCCGGGATCCATGTGAGCAGAGAGTGCAACACTGCACCTTGCAGCTGAGGGAGAGGTCCTCTCTTGTCGAGTAGTGTTTGATCATTATGAGCTGAGAGGTTAAGTGTAAGACCATTTAGGGCTTATAGACCTTATGGGCTAATCTCACTTAAGTCCAGAGTCCTTGGGCCTTCATAAGGTGGCTGAACCCGGGACCATTTAGTGTAAATGTTGGG